TCACACAGAATGAACCAACAGCTGCTCTGAGAATGCATAAAAGAATGATCTTAAATATAGTAGGACATTTGAGAAAGCTGTTCCCATGAGGACACTAACAAACACTCCAAACAATAGACATTTTCTACAGAGCTGTGGACAGGTAAACTTAGTCCCAGGCTAGAGAGCAACTATTCTGGCAATGAAACGTAGCAAAAATTTAACCGTTAGACCAGAAAAGTTCACCCCTTGACAGCAGGAAATGAAGCCTGCAGGACACGTGTGTGTGTGTGTGTGTGTGTGTGTGTGTGCGTGCGTGCGCCTTTCAGTATGAGCAGAGCCACTGGTGCCAGTCAGAATTCCCAGGTTTCTCCTGTTTGACTGATGGATGGACACCTAGCCCTGGGCTACGCAGCCTTTGTAGAAGACAGCCACATGGCAGGAGTTTGTCCAAGAAGTTTCATTTCTAGATGTTTGATAGTGGGTGGCAGAAGAACACACGTTTAGGTGATTTAACAGTTAGCCTTCGTCCTGTGGCTTTTATGTCAGGGTTTACTTAGCATCATATCTATCCAACGAGTCTGTTACTTTGCAGTTGACAACAATTTGCAAAATCCTTGAGAAGACAAAGCAGCACTGGAAGTTGAAAAAAATGAAGCCTTACTAGTAAGTGTCTCTTACTAACAACTACAGACAGCTACAGGCATCTGACAAGGAGGAGAATTAGTGCAGCTCCTCCACCACCAGTTACACAAAGGCCCACAAAAGATATTTGGAAGATGCCACTGTGTTCAAGCCACAAGCAAGTCAGAGAGGAAGATGATTAAGGTCTAGAGCATGTGTCATATGAGGAGAGGCTGAGAGAGCTGGCGTTGTTCAGCCTGGAGAAGGCTCAGATTACCCTTAGTACTGCCCAGTGACAGGACAAGCGGCACTGGGCACAAACTGGAATACAAGAAATTGTGTTTAAACCTGACTAAAAATGTTTTGCTATAAAGGTAATTGAACACTGGCACTGGTTGCCCAGAGAAGTTCAGGAGTCTCCATCTGCAGACATTCAGAACTCTACAGGACAAGGATCTGAGCAACACACTCCAGGCAACCTTGCTTTGAGCAGAGCGGTTGGACCAGGTATCACCAAAGACTCCTGCTGATCCCAACCATTCTGTGTTCTTGGAAATGGATTCAACTGGTGTAACTTCATCATTTTTTACCTGGTGTTGTCCCTCTGCACACAGGAGAAGTTTTATGAACTTTGTCTGGTCTACCAGACACATACTGAAAAACAGGCGAGATACCTGGGCATTTGTGTTTTATTCATGCTATGAATTATGGAGTGCCCCACAAGGGGATTTTTCTGTAATTTTCTATTTACCGTATTTTTAGTGGCAGGGAAGCTGAGCTGAAGAATATATGGTGCTCTCTAAGTATTCCAAAATAAGCATTCACAATGCTACCTTTGTAAATGCTATTATGGAACTAAAAGTGCATTTAGCAATCAAAGTAACAGCAAAGCAAGGTAAGCAGATAACTGTAATTACCCAAGGAGATAAAAATTAAATTACACCTTCAGAGGAGCCCACATGTGCCAAAATTCCAGAAGAAGCTGAGAGAGATGTTCTTGTACGTGTTTGCTGGCAAGAGTAGCACTCTTCACTATGAATTACACCTCACATTTTTGAATTTTAGCTTCTCATATTTTTTGAATTATAGCTTCTTGTATTCAAGGAGGGAGTTTTGATCTTTCCAAAGATTCTGAAGACGTTTTTTCAAAGGACATCAGTGATCTCAGCTACGTTGTTTGAAACACACACTGAAACAAAGCTCAACTTTGTAGTTGCAGTTTGACTGGCAGAGCGGGAATGTCACAGCTCAACAACGGAAGTTAGGAATCACCCTGAAGCAGTAAAATCACAGAATCCTTTAGGTTGGAAAAGACCTTTTAATATCAAGTCCAGCCGTTAACCCAGCACTGCCAAATCCACCACTAAACCATGTCTCTAAGTGCCTCATCTACTGGTCTTTTAAATACCTCCAGGGATGGTGTCTCCACCACTTCCCCGGGCAGCCTGTCACAAGAGCAGTAACTTCAAGGCCAGCAAACTGTTCACACTAGCTTCTCCTCTAGAGAGAAGTACTACTCAGCATTATCAATCCTTAGCAAAAGAATGCCCAATTTACTGAAAAAGGAAATATTGTTTCTGCAAAGTTTCAAGAAAACTCAAAATATTTTATTCACAAAAGCAGAGATCAATAAAAATATAGATATCCTGATCAGTTTTACAGACCATGTTCAGTTCTCTCCTTCACTGACAGGCAAAGCATCATGGGGAAAAAAAAAAAAGAACAAGCATCTACATCACAAACATTATTAACACAGATTCATGTATATGAGCAAATGTTTTAAAGGTTTTGCATATAAATACAACAAAAATTACAGCTCCAACAGAACATTCCAAGAAAAACAGCTCTTATGTTTTGTCCTTTTTGTTTCTGTGCTGTCCTGTTTTTCAGTGGTGAAAAGAGCATGTGCTGTCTCACTGGCATTTAACAAATAGCTTTTGGTTTAAACTGAAATTTTGCATGAGCTCACTGCACTCCTTAATGTGTTTTCTTTGAATTCCAGACCTCTTTATAGATCAAATTGGGATGTTTGTGCTAGATTACTAATGTGATGTCAAAAAAAAAAAAATCCACATTGCTACTAACATCATCAGGAAGTTTTTGTTGTTTTGTTTTTAATTATGGAGCACTGCACACAAATTTTAACCTGAAAATATCCTTGTTGTTCAAACCAAACTTCTGTCAGCTCAATGGCTATGCATGAAACCGGAGCCAAAGCTTTCCTCTTTTGTAGACATAAATTCTCCCTAGAAATCACGACTGCATTTTGTGAAATCTGGTTTTCAGGACCACGGTGGAAGACAACTGAGATTAAGGAATAAGGCATATAATTTCTGTTTGGTTGGTTTGGTTTTTTTTTTTTTTTTTTTAATACAACTACTGAACTAAATCCACATCTGGAAAAATTCTCACCAAGATAAACAGACTAAGTGTTATTTTTTTTTTTTTCTGCTTTTATGTCTTTTAACTTTGGAGAACTGAAGAATCTGAAACCTCTTCCATCATAAAGATAAAGATTGACTGACGTTTTTAAAACTGGTTGCAATATTATAAAGCAAAAATTATTTGAAAACAAAAACCAAACAGAAAATGCTGTCATCTTCCAAAAGGTGAACTAGAACACTGAAGTACAGAAACTGATTTTAAGGAAGAGTCACAAAACAACTCCAAACCCGTAATTATTACTGCTCTGATGATCAAAATCTACAAAAATATTTCAGGTTACTTGCATGCAAAGTGCTTCCTGCCTCTGACTACCTAACCTCCGGGAGTATCCCAACTGGGAGAGACTTTGCTCTTCTGTTAAAAACCAGACAGTCCATTTTCATATATAAGCAATTCTTACTATGTAAAAGCTATGAGAGATCATTCAGACCGCCTAGCTCCTCAGGACATGGCTAACTATACCTACAGTATTTCTTGTACCTTTATCTCCTGTTCCTTAAAACATCCAGCAACAGATCATTGTAAAGCAGGGACTTGTGCTTCATCCTGACTACAACAGCCGATGGTCAGAAGTGGAAGCCCTTTTTGCAGGGGAAAGCCCTTCCCCCTCCTACAGCCGCCTGGATACTGCAGGGGGTGCAGGCTGCGGCAGCACAGAATTTCAGCGGACCGCCTGCGCAGTGAAATCGAGGCTACGATCCAGCTGACTCTGAACGTGTCAGAATTTCATACAGCCTGAGGTCACCCAACACTACACACCGATGAAACACGGAGTATTTTCAGCAGACTCCAATTCCTCACTGGCGTTTTCTGCGGCGGTGTGACTGTGGCAGTCCCGAGACTGGCCTGCCCCTGCCGGCGGCTGGCCCCTCCCCTCAGCCCCCGCTGCTGGCCCTTCACCCCCGGCGACAGGCAGCGACAGTCTGCACGGGCTGCTGGCACCGCAGCACAAAGCCACGTTACCAGCCACGATTACAGGGTCTGACTCCCAACACAAGCTTTAAAATACAAATATTTAATAGAAAATCTAAATTTCGTCTATCAAAATACAGATACGACACTACCCAATGTAACAAAATAATGGAATTGAAAAATAATTTCAAAATATTTAAAGAGTTAGGTTCTAAAATAAATAATGCTATCTAACAGAAGTGTTCGGGTTTTGCGATTAGGAGGAGGCAGCTCCACTATTACTGATCTCTTTTTCAACATCTTTACAAGTTCCATAATTTATGTAGAAAAATATACAAGAAAAAAATTTGGAGACAAAGAATAGGTTGGGTATGTAGCATTTAACAAATAAAAAGCCTAAAGCAAAACAAAAAGAAAACCAATTGCTTTATTTCTGTACATCAAGACTACAAATAGTATTTTAACACTTCATTTATTACCCAAATTAAGAAATTATACATTTTTATATGGTTAGTAGTAAACATCTTTAAATTACTCGGTTTCCCCACATTTGAAAGGATATTGCTGGTTACTGCTTATTAAATATGAAATCCAACAGAGTTTCCAGTAACAGCAAAATATTTTTTGCATAAGAGATGAATACAAATTTGATTGTAGATTTTGACGATTTAAAATATAAAACTAAAGTTCAGAGGGATGCACTTATGAATCTTAGTTTGAACTCTGTTTCCTTTTTTGAATCGACTGCAGTGTGCATACGAATACCCAACGATGTGCCTACTGCTAGAGGATCAGTTCTTTCCTATCAAAGCAAATTTTTTCCCAGATATCAAATCATGTTAAGCAGCATATTCCCACCTCCTTTTCTTAGCAGAAATACTGCAGGCAGATGGATACACAAGCTGTTTTATCACCAAAAAATAATGAATTTGACTAGTGTCTACGGCACAGATATGGTATTTAAGATGGAAAGAAATGATAGGGAAAGGAATGTGAACACCACAGGCTTCAAATATAAAAGATAAAGCCTGGTAACTTTGGTTCAAACAATTTTAATAGTCATTACATGTATATTTTTCCGAAGTGATGACTTTCGTTTTTACTGTGTATGCAATAGGAGCCTGATACATTTTAAAAAAAAAGTCTGTACAGGCACAAAGGACAGAAACAGAGCAGAGCAAGCCTGAAGAGTCACATCCATTCATGACAGCGTTCAAGTGATAATGATGCAGCCAAAGTAATAACGTGATATTGCCAAAATAATGTCAATCCCATTTCTCCAAGGTATTTCAGAAAGCACAAATAGAATATTACAAACATTTTATCTCAGTGCCTACCATCTTGAGGGAAGGTAGAATAAAACAAAATCAGTTCTGCAACAACTATGATTGTAAACAATTCTACAATGTAAGTAAAGAAGTCCGGTTATTGGAAATGAGCATATTCATCCTCTCAGTTCTGGGGTATCTGGAAACATCTGCTTCACTTCCATCTAGAAGATTAATTACAGGATGCTAGCCCTGTCTCATCCCAACGCACTGCACGGTACACAACTTTATTGCCAGTTTGTGAAATTATTTATGTTTGAACAGCACAAAGCCAAAGCTGCTTCTTTGGTTAATTTCACTGAGATGTCACTCTTCTTTAAATGTGCTCTTTCTTCGCCTAAACACAGAAAACAGCCACACTGCACACAGCATTCATTGTTCTGAATCATAAAGCAGTGTCAATGTAATATTAATTAACGAAAGTTAACTAAGGAATTGTGTTTAAAAGTGAAACCTATTTGAGGGCATTTGACACAAAAGCTGCAGAACTCTAGACAGAATTCCCTTCCAACTGCTCGGGTATGGGCGCTGCTTATAGAGTAGGCACTGGTTCAGTTCCTCTGCAGAGCATCCAAACAAGCATCAGTTCCACTCAGCTCAATTCAAATCCAGCAGCACATTCAATGGCATAAAGCAGCTTGCTTCGCATAAGGTTTTCATCATAAAATTCAGGAAGCTTCAGCAAGTTCATGCAGGTACTGGCAGTAGGTAGCCTGTCTAAATCAGATCCTCCATTGTGAATACAAAATGCAGGATATAACTCCTGAAAAATCAACAGAAAAAAAACACATCAAAAAACACACACAAGCCCAAACCTACCCCGCAACAGCTGGCGCAGATTGTTAGGAAATGCATCATTAGATTAGAGCCCACCACAATGACATGCTCAAATGGCATGGTTTCTTCATTTTGGTGGCCCCAAAAGCACTTCTGGAATTGCGTAGTGCCTCCATCTACCTTGCCCCCATCAGGATCCATTAATTTGCAAAAAACAAAGCAATTTATTTAGTTCTAAGTAAATAATAATAATAATTTGTTATTGTTCTAGTCTAAAAATTTATGATGCTATAAAACCAGTGAAACACAAAATGGAAAAAGTTATACAACAGCATGGAAGAAATCTTTTGTTTCATCTGGGAGAAACCACAGGGATTCACAGCTTCAGACTCTCCTTACAAAGGCTCCCAAACGCCCACGGATGCCATTTGTTCTGTAGGAACAGGAAAATGATGGGTTCCTGCTGCACTGAAGTCTCCTGACAGTGACATGCTGAACACAGGGAAGAAGAGACCCCTTGTAGTAACAGGTAAATAGAAAAGGCTGCTCTGGCGTGCTTGAATGACATGCAATACTTGTCATTGTATAATGAATGACACATCTTCTAAGAATTATACTTTCTGGTCTTGTTCTTTCCAGGCAAGAAAGACATTTTTTCTGCATATGCAAAAATGCCAACAAAGGCAATTTTGCTGTAGCTAATGAAGTGATGTGTTATGTCAGTTACAACAGTCTTATGTTAGTTTAAAAGTATTCCAATGTTATGCACAAATTCTACACAAGCATTTACTTCTCATGTTAAAGTGATGTTCTGAGGAAAAACAGGACAAATGAATGACCAGATCTAAGAACAAATTAACAAAGTTATAGTACTACATCAATTCCTGTGACAACAACAACAAAAAAGAGAACTATGGTCAAACGTACCCTTCCAGTGTTCTCCTTCTAGAGCTTTAGCTTTTTAGCATACCACAGATATAGAGATTCTTCAAGTGGATGAGTATCAAACCACCATTTTCTTTCTACTCACTATACTATACAGTGGTATTTTCTTTTTTAAAAACAACTGTCTGATACAATGCTAAAGGCATTTCTTGCCCTCAGGGGGTTTCTCTCTAAACTAGTCTTTCAGCAAGCCTACAATTTATGAATTTCAAAATGAACAACACTAATGAGTTCAGTGGATCTGTTCTTGTGTAAGACTAAGTATTTACACTATGATCTAGAACTCTGAATCAAGAGACACTTTATTGTATCCAAACAAAACCTCAGTTTATTTAAAGCAATTCATACTTGGTGTTTCTTTACTGAGTGATTATAAAGTCACTCGGCCCTAACTGGGATGATACTGATGTGCATACTGAGGCTGTAATGATGTAAACTTGTCAAGCCCTGACTGTTCTTCTGATGTGATAACTATTGATCTGAGGAACAGATTTTTAAAACACGTTGTATATAATATTTTAGTAATATGTGATTTTTTTCTTCTGAGAAAGAGTATAGTGAAGAGTATATTTGATTTTTTTATATACATATATATATATAAACCCCAAAAAAATCCAAATTGTTACCTCTAAAGCAGTGTCTTTTGTTGGCAAGAATACATTCATTTTATCAAATGCTTGCCTGAGGTGAAACAGTTCTGATTTTAGAAACTAGAAAAAAGTCCTAGCTCCAAAGGCAAAAGGTCAATGAGATTTGAAGCTAAATTATTGTTCATATGGAGGCCTTAAAAGTATTTCATGGCTAAAATGCTGCATTTTTAGTGTTCCTTTCAAAATGCTAATTGAATTCCCCTACTTTAGCTTTAAAAATGGAAAAATGAAGTTCTAAATTGAAATGTCATAGCAAGGGCACCATTTGTTGCATAATTAAATACTGTACAGCAGGGAACTGCAATAGTTCGGAAGTTAAAAGTATCATCAATTTATTATGTGACCTGATTGGAACTTAACAATTTTCAACCATGCTTTAATGATTTTTTTTTGTCCGTAACAATCACATTTATTAAACTTATTAAACTTTAATTAGCTTTAGTAAATGTTATTCTGAGCCTGAATCTGGCAGTGAAAGTTTAAAATTTTTAAATTATGCAAAGCTAGACTGTGCCGTCTGTAAGCTGTGAATGTCAAGACCCTCCTTACCTTAAATTAACATGCACTAACTTTAAGAAAACGTGAAGGTTCCACAATATAAAGGACACAGAAGTTTTCAGAATAAGAACCAGAAACTGTCTTCCTCTCAGAAATTCTAGTACACAGATTAAAATTAAACAAATTTTGAAGATAGCTTGTGTTAATATCTACCATCAACATAAATACATTTGTACAGGTTTTTGGCCAGTAACAGTCAGCACTCCTGCAGCTTCATACTCTTCACCTTCCGAGGTCTAAACAACACACTGTCACAGGCTACCAAGACACTACTGCCAATGACCACAGCAGCTACTCGCTTCCTTTTCTGGCAAATATTTCCTAGCAAACCCCTGTTTTGTTGTTAAATTCATGTTAATGAGATACTACTGGAAACACTACACATGTATTGACCCAACTCCTGCCCAGTGCTGCCCAGCAAAGCAGCATAATGCCTTTTCAGGGCTTGCCGCTGCCAAGACTGTTGCACGTGGCTGAGATCACGAGTCCGTTGTAGTGAAATAATCTTTTAACTTACTTTTAGCATGTTGAAAATTTGATTACTATTTTACTTCCATTTTTTCCTAGCCAAGTATGTTAAAAGTCAGGTTATGGCCTGTCTCCCACAGTACACAAACTTCAGCTTTCCACATTTGGCTTCTTTCTAATGTGTCACTGTCAGCCTTAGTATTTTTAGACTTTTGATTCACTTCCTCCATTCCTTCAAATGTCACGCTGGCTACCTCAAAGCTGGGTAGCTACATCTGCATTTCCTCTTCTCCCCTTGTCATTAAAAAGAATGACAACACAGGGAGACTTCCCTTTACTCTGTCTCCAGACAACTTCCCCAATTCTCCCTTCATTTAATGACTGACAAAGCACTGTTCTATCCCAGTTTTCTAATTATTCTTCCCACTGTCCTATAAAATCCTCTTTGTTGCTGGAACATTGTACAGTGATATTCACATGGACTTGGACAGTTTAAGGGAAATGCTTGCAGGCTTTTAAATAATCAATCACACAAATCAATGAGTGAACACCCCAAATAGGATTCATGTGATTAAACAGTCATCTCCTTTGTCTCCATATCCAAATCTAGTCACCCTGGACCCTCTTCTGTGTTAAAGGGGATCTAGTTAGTATGTTTTGTGGAGTATAAGACACGGTTCATTACACCCTGAAGTAGATCCATGGAACAGTGAGACAAATTACTGACTGAAAGAGTGAATTCCTCTCCTAGGTGCCTATAAAAGGCATGTGGCTGAGCTATAGATTACAGATAATAGAGGGCAGGCTGCCGCTCCACATAACAGCACCACACAGCACTTGCTACACCAGGAGGGATTACGCAGAGGCTGAGACTGCAGAGGGTCACAGAACAACTGTGCCAAGGGGAGGTTTAAATGAGCACAGGCTGCAGTGGCAGTCAATGCTGCACACCCCTATCAGCTTAGAAAGAAACAGGAAAATAAACAAAAGCATTGGACAGGGAAGAGAATGAGCAGCATAAGAGGACAGAAGTCAAATGGGGACAGGGCCATGCTTGTGCTTCCCTGCAGAATGTGGCAATAGAAACAACTATTCCACTTCAAACTTGCTCTGCAGCCTGAAAAATACAGCTGTTGGAGCTACTGAGAATATTCTTTCATCACTTCTAGCAACTGAACCCACATGTGTTTTTATTTAAATCATTCAAATGTCAGAGGTCTGTCTGAGACCACTGTGATGATTTTAATACTGGAGCATGTTGTTTGTTTCCCACAGGAAAACTGTATGAAAAAAAGTAAATTATCCAAAGTTTGAAAATTCCAGAAAGAATTTTGTTTAATTCAATAAGAGAAAGCCAATGATAAGTACTACAAACATCTAAGTTGTGTGTCTAGATGAGGAAGGTGGTGGGTATTTTTCAGGTTTTATTTCTGACATCTCACCATGTGTCACCCCCAGAACACTTCACACAAAAGGGCCCAATTTCTAGAGCTGAGAAGAAATTCCTCTAGCATTTCCCTACCAAGTATTTTTTTAAATGCTGATTAAAAAAAACAAACAAAAACCCCAAAAAAACTCCACCAGAATGAAATTTCACAGTGTGATTTTCAACAGAATGAAAAACTTGGGCAAAATTCTGAGTATGTTGTTTCCACCTCCAGAGTATTATGTATGCCTATATATATGACTAGTATATATTATATATGCCTGAATTCCTTGTTCCTATATAATATGTTAGTATCTGTCCCTGAAGTATTTCTATAATGAGAAAATGTTCATTCAACACTATTTGCTTTACAAAACCACCAATAAACCTTCAGGACCTACACAATACCTGCATTCATTTCTTATTTCATCTACTTGTTTTCTTATTTCACCTCCTTATTTTACCTAAAAAACGTAGAAAGTTCATTACTATCCACTGCTAATTAAATATTGTACCACAATATTTATAATGTGAAAATTTACTAAATACATGTACTTAAATTTTGTTTAGCTACAAATCTTACTCTTAGTTGTAAGGAACTAGATGATGCAATGCCTGTATTTGTTCCCCATAAGCCCACCTTTGTATTTATTTTACTAAATAGTACAACAGCAAACATGCTGTTGAGTGCTGTACTAAAGGTGATGGTGTGGCTATGAAGCAGTTTATTCTTTTATTTTTTCTTACAGAGAAGTATTGAACGTTTGCACATTTTAGAGCAAATGAAGTCCATGACAAGTTCTTAGCCAAAATTTTGCAGCCCAGCCCAAATTCACGGGTAGAATATCGTTTTGGGGACATTCAAGATCAGGCTAGATGAAGCTTTGAGTAGCTTGATCTAGTTTGAGATTTCTGCTTATGGCAGGGGGTTGGACTAGATGACCTTTGGAGGTCCCTTCCAGCCCAGACATACTATGATTCTAATATCCCCAGAATTTAATTTTCAACTTGCCTTAGCCTCTCTTTGGTTTTATAAGCAGTAAACAAGTTTTTTTCATACTTCAACTTCACTGTAAATCTAAATAAATAAATAGCAATCTAAAGATAGCAGCAAAATATTTAGATACAAAGAGTAACGAGCTGTAACCATATAAGGAGACAAATAGTAATGAGAAAAACAAATTAAGCATTTGAAGTGGAGGAAGTATTAAGAGGTTCAAATTTAATAGCTGCTTTTATATCCTAAATCCCCTTCTGCCTGATTTAATAGACATTATTCTTAACTCTGCCACTCCCTGAAACTGGTAGCAATACTGCTTCTGCACAGTAATGTGAAAAGGCAGCAAAGATCTTCCATGACAAGGAGTAACCCCCCTAACCAAAGTGATTTTAGGCTTATCAAATTCTGCAGTCAAACCAGAAAACAACAGACCAACATTTCATTAAAATGTTTTGCAACTATTCTCAACATACATGCAAATACAAACATTGAAGCTGTTTCTGTATCACAGAGGAACATTCTTCTCCAACTGTAAATTCGTACAGGCAAGAAAAGCTTGTACCATCACCTGTAGTATTTATGAAAACTTGCCAGGAAGTGGGGAAGACACACACCTTAAACCCCAGAAGAGGTGGTCGAGAGCAGCTTGTGACAAACTTGAGTAGTTTGCGTTTCTCTTCATCAGTGAAGCTTTCTACAACTCTCCAGAATATTCTAATTACAGGATGGTCTGCTGTGTAGCCACCTATAATGGAATGAAATGATTTATAGGTAGTTTTATGTAAGAAATAAATTCTTCAGAAAGCCTAACATCAATCTTGAAAAGCTCAGGAAAATACTACAACCAGCAGGTTTATATTACTGACTTCCAGTATCTATACATCTCTTTGATCACTGCATTTTGAGTTTCTCATTCATTGCTTACCTATAGCTACAATCTCCATCAGCAGCTTAACTGCAGCTTTTTTTGTGAAGTCCTATTTGCTTATTTTAAATTAATTTTATTTAGTTTAGAACTTACCTAGTAACTTTGGACTACCACCTTTTACTCCAAGAGTATGCAAATTCTACAAGACTTGGGATGACTCTGCTTGCCTTTAGGTAAGGCGGGATGTGAATGGATGATACAGCAGCTACTATTTGATTACATTTATCATAAACGCAGGGGAAAATGAGTAAGATACCTTGTATTTGTCACAAGGAAAAAATATGAACTCTCTCTTCAGGCTGTCTCAGAAACAGTAAGCATCTGAATGTGGTGGCAGAACAAAACTATCCCAAAGTCATTTGCAGTCTTACTTTCAGGTCAACCAGACACAGACCCTGACTAACATCCATTAAAAAAGGAATTACACAACCTCTGATTTTCCATCTATAAACTTGTACTTAAGTGTGTGAGTTAATATTAACTGCATACCTATATTTCACAGCATTTGTAAAATGAGGGTGTAATTTTACCCCATCTTCTGAAATTCAGGCCTGTCTAGAGTTTGGCCAAAGTTAACACTGAAAACTAACAGTGATCCTAGAACTTTTTTAAAAAAGCTTATATCTTTATAAGGCAACTTTATTTATTCCTAAATCAGTCACAATACATTGTGTTATTTAAGTAAAAGATATGTACCTGAATAGTTCGTGAAAGATTTAAGGTCATCCAAACTAATAGGAACCTGGGCACCAGAAATGAGAACCTAACAGTGAAGAAAAGGACAGTTAGATCAGAAGCAGAAGTGAGCGTGTCGCTCTGGTGAGAGCGGCGGCGGGGAGCAGAGGCACCTGTATCTCCTGCTGGTCGAACATGCGCAGCCACTCCAGGTTGACCACGTTGGCCAGCCCCTGGCGGAAGGCGAGGCAGTGCTGCCGGATCTGCTTGTTCAGCCTGTAGTCGGCCACCAGGTGGATGTAGGCGATGCGGTTGGCGCTGGTCACGGGAATGTCCTTTCCACCCGGCTTCAGCTCAACCACCTAGCAACACAACGAATGTCATCATCTCAGTCAGCTTTAATTCTGTGTGCTGTAACCACAAAACTGAACTGCAAAACACTGGAGTAAGCAATGCATGTATTTGAAGTCTACTGGAATATACTCAAAAATATTCGCCTTAAAATAAGATAAATGACAAGTTAAAAGGTGGAGTTTCTGCTATTTACTCACAAAAGCACATTCTATGAGATAGTTTTTAGCCCTAGAGCTCCAGCTGCTAGTGCAGCTGACTGCATCACCTGTGGTTTATTACCAGAAGGCAGATTCAGCAAAGTCAGAGCTCCTTACAAGAGACAGCGTGTAACGCCGAATTCACCACTGCAAGTCAGATAGAAACTGGGGGAGAAATCTTCCCCCGGCAAGCTCACCCCTCCTTTGTTGATGCTACTCAGAGCCCTGGAAGAGCAGGTAGGCTGTGTAAACAGAGAACTCACACAGCACACTCTCCTTCCAGCTGGACTGGCTAGGCTCCTTTCTAACTGTTTGGTGAGCAGGAATTCTGCAGGATCACATTACACTAAAAGCAATGTTGACTGAGTCAAGATTCTGATACAAGCCTAATGTACAGAATGATAAGCATTCACAAATGAAAATCCAATTTATACATGCTCAATACTTACAACAGAAGTAAAATGCAAACCAAACAACAACAAAATCAAGACTAAATCTTGTTTTCCAACTGAGCAGCTTAGCTGCTATGCTTCAAGCACACCAAGATACCTCAGCATGGAAGGATTTTTATGAAAAAACTCAAACCCAGAGATACTGCAATTACATCAAGATATAAATCAGTATCAATGGTAGTTTCTATTAAAACACTAAAGACCTCTACATATTCTAGTCTTTACTACATGAGGTTAATTCTGTTGAGTATCAGCCCAATTGGAAGGGAGAACTGAAAAATTGGCATAGTGTCCCCTTCTGAACCTCTCCCCCCAAAAATCTGTTTTTCTACGCTCTGCAGTGAGCAATTTTAAGTCTTTTTTTTTTTTTTTTTTTTGGTTAAACCACCATGCATTTCAGCCTGTGGTAACAATGAGATCTTCAGAGCACAGAGCATTAAACACGTGAAGAGCTTACTCTGTAACATGCTGCCTAATAATGCGAGCTGTTCCAGTACTAAGCAAAATACAAAATGGTAAGATTAAAAATTCACAGTGCTTTTGAGCATTCAGATCTTTACTTGATTTGTAGCTTTTTAAGGACAAATGAGAGCATTTAAGATGTGTGAATCTGACCTCCCTGATAACACAGGCTAGAGAATTCTGTCTAGAGATTCCTGTATATAACTCAATAAATCCACAGATGAGTTAGAGCACATTTTTTTAGAGAGACAAGTAATCCTAGGTAAAGGCTCTATGTGATGGAGTATTTACCACTTTCCTTGATAAGCTAGAACAATCTGAATTACAATAGGTGTTAAAAATACATCCTGCTTCACACTTTAATGCTTCAGCTGCAATCTTTTTGCTCTGGTTACACCTACAGTAAAAAAAACTCATCAATACTCCAGCACGTCTGTGTGCAGGTAGCACTGACTACACTTACATCCTACCCCCCAGGGAATTCAGTAAAATGAAGGTGTCAGTTTAGCTGTTTCTGTTTCATGCCCTTCACTGTTGAGCTTGCTCTCTTCTGAGCAAGCCCCCTTCACCAAGGACCATGGATTCGAGAGCCAGGACAGCCTTCTCCAGGGTCCACCCCTTGGCTGTGGCATGAGATGCAGCCAGCCTCTCCAGGGGCTACAGGCCAGGACCTGGTGCCTCAGACTGGCCTCAGGGCAAGGAGATTTTTCCTGGTAGAGTCCACAAGGAGTATTAATAGATGTATGTGACACATGAAACACCCGATGAGAAGGGGCCCCTGTGCTGCTGGGCTTTCTGCTCTGCTACTGCAGGCAACAACACAGTCTACAAGTGTACCATGTTCCATCCTACTGTTGTAGTTTTACTGTTGTCACTGGAAACTTAGTCAATAATTGAATTCATCCACTGGTTAGAAACATTCTAATTTCCACTTCAAGTCCCATGGGTAAAGTTTGTTCCTACCCATTGCTCTTATTCCGGTATTGCCCCATACCTTAATCAGTTCTTTCCCTCCACCTAAATTATATTCACGAGGTATTACTTATGGGCAGCAAGTTCACTTAAAAAAGTCTTTCCATAGACTTTTTCATTCAACTAAATAAAATAAGTCAGGTTGTTTAATTTCCTCCTATGAAATAGCCTTTTACAAAGCCCAACAAGATCAGAAAGCTTTCTCTTATTATTTAAATTCCTTTCCTCTTTAGTGTTACAGGATCAGAGCTACCAGTGATGTTCCACATGAACACATCATTGCTGAGACCTCAACACTACTAGTACTTCACTATATGCCCACTTAAAAATTTTCTCCATTTTTTTTGCACAACTGTGTTATTTTCTTTTGTCACTACTTCACCAAATGCAATTCCTCTCTTTGAGTTATGAAGACACTAACTTTGGCCATATGAAAACATATTTGTATCACCTAACTCATCAAGCTTAAGAATACAGACACCAACAATAAACTAACTGTTATTATTCCACTTGCATAAGGTAATTTCTGAGATTAGTATTTACACAAAAAGATGCCACAGCATTCAGTTAACCTCATTTCCTGTGGTTTTCCAGTAATCTAAGTATCCATTTTCAGAGCTTATCAATCTGAGCTTAATTCTACCACCATTTTGTCAAAGTATCATCACAGTCTGAAACAAAAGGGCTAATTAATACAGCAG